ATGGGTTGCCGACAGACCCTTAAGAGGCCAGAGGAACTGCCGACAGACCTCTAGACAACCAAAGGGGCTGCCAACTAAGTCCAAAAGGCAGTCGGAGAGTCCAGGAGGACTGCCGACAACTAAGGTAAGTGTGTCAGAGGTGTAGGTGGCCTGTAGGTGGGCTAAGTTAAGGTTGACAGTGGCTAGGTGATTGTCTACAGTGACTGGGCTGTTAAACAGGACTGCCGACAGCAGAAGAGAAGAAAGAAAGAGAGAGGGGCCAGGGTTTTGGCTCTGATACCATGTAGGTTTAGTGAAAAGAAAGAGTTAGGAAATGAGGTAGACTTTATTCCCTTTTATATTGATAATACTGAGTAATTACAGGAGTGCCATAGGCATAATATAAGGAAACACAATCACGTTTTTCCTATTTTAACTTAATTCCTATTCTAACACCTATGGTCATATTCATAGCATCAAAAGAAATAGGTTGGCAAGTAGCAAAGCTGAAGATTTGGTCTTTGTACATTACACCATAAGGATGTTATCAAGAAAGAAAAAAGAGTACAATGAAGGGCCTTCAAAGTATTGGGATTTATGTAAGTTTTCTAATTCATTAATATTGTTTTCTTTCTTCTACAACACTTTTTTTTCCCTAGATTAGTTATTGACTTTTGCATGATTGTAGGCGGAGATAGGTTTGACATTGATGGATCTCCAATTGAGTTTGCAGAACTTTCCATCAATGAACCTGAGTTGGAGCTTGTGCCTTTTGATAATGCAATGGAGAAGGTTCAACCTGATGATGTTGATCATGATGCTTAAGACTTAGATGCTTAACTTTCGGACTAGCTTGATTTGATATTTTGCCTTTTCATATATTGATGTTTATGTAAAGACTATAATCGGGTTTTTTTTTTTTTTAATATTTTAGTTTTTGACATTTTGTGGTGTGGTGGAGATGATCAGTCAACTATGAATAAGAATAGTTGACTTGACATACAAAACTTATCATTTTTGTAAATCTAAATTTGATCATCTCAATCAACTTAAAGATATCATAATGTTTATATTTGTGACATCATTCACAATTTGAATTTATAATATGCTGCAATTATAATGATATAGAATATTATAGGTGTGGTCAAAGTTATACACATTTTAAACTTAATCAAGTAAGCATCCATATCATTTTCTTGTCTTTTTTTGCTTAATTTATATTTTATACACAATGATTTTTTTTATTTCTTGCCTAAACTGATGGTGATAAAAAATTATGCAGCTAAAATGGTGAAAGAGCATGTGAATTATGGGAGGTTAGAAGCACTAATCAATCAAGTATGTGCCTATATCCTACATTCATTTCATAATAAATTAATTTTTTATTCTTCTATGTATTTTGTTAGACTTTAGCTATCTAGGTATTGATCATCATGATGCATAGATTATGTAGTTAGTTAGTACAATAAAAAAATTCTATTAATATTTTATATGTCGTGTCCCCGTATCCGTATCTATTTTTTGGACACTTTTTAGCCGAGTCCCCATATCCTTATTTTATGAATAGGCAAATCTAACACCTAGACACATGCCCATATCCAACACCCGCACCCAAGTCCATGTAACCTTACCTTGAGCTAAGGACCACATGAAATACTTCACTATATGGGGAACAACCGCTTTCTAGATTTTCTTGCGAAGAGGAAACTACTAGACAAAAATTCATCAATGAATGTATCAAACAAAGACTTACATGAGAATACCCCTGAGGGAGTGATACTCCAAACCATTCTATCACAAGATGAAGATAAAGAAATCCTATCAATCAATGACAACAAAGTAGCCAACTCATGAAACTCCCTATCACTTAAATTCCTAAGAAAGTTGAAATTCCAAGAGATTGGTGCCACATTAGAGCACGCCACCGACGCAATTGACACGTTCTAATAACGGACCAATCCATAAAGTAATGGCAAAGCTTTATCGAAAGAGGTAACCCTCAACCACTCATCCTCCCAAAACTAAATATGAACCCTGTTACCCACTCTCAAAGACAAGAAAGAATGCACTATGGGATATAAACAAGAGATGTACTTCCAAGGAGACCGACAATTGCCTCTACTAAATCTGTTTTCTTTAACATTATGCTAATTTCTCCTAATTCAACAGCATTACAAACTCTCCATCCTTCCTAAAATACAACAGCTTAAAGAAATGGAAAAATAACTCCCCGGACACATACAGGACAACAAACAACTTAGTCCAAGACTCCTTCACACTATATCTCTTCATTGCCCAAACATCAACATAGTCATCTTGTTGACCAGGGTAAACCACATGAAGCCATCCACCCAATTAGCCAAGTCAATACTCTTACAAGTGCACTTTTTGACTTTTTTTGTATTATGTGTAGAAAAAGTAGAGAGGAGATGTTGATTGATGTGACCCAAAAAAGATAAAAAGATGAAATAAGTGCACTTTTTTGATAGTAGCCAAACTTGGCCATAGTCATCTTGTTGACCAGGGTAAACCACATGAAGCCATCCACCCAATTAGCCAAGTCAATACTCTTACAACTCCATTGACAGTTAGGCTGTGGCACCTCCTGAAATGCCTCCTCAACAGCATCAAAACAAACAATGACATTGATTACACTCGAAGCAAAGAAATCCCCACGATCGCCCGTGTCGTGACTCACTACCCAATCTGGCCTCGTGATCAAAACAGTCCCCAGTCCATAGGCATAAACCCCTTATAAGAAAAGTCTTGAATTCTTCTTGAAGAATTGGATTTGGAACTAAACACATAAACAGCAGTCGGGTCATGACAACAAGTACTTACAGGCCTAATTGCCCTAACTAGGGGTGACCGTGGATCGGGTTGGATCAAGTGGCATCCCATCCACCATCCATCCAAAATTAGACGGATTGGAAAAATCAATCTATGTCCGTCCACCGATTTGGCGGATGCAAATTGAGCGGGTTATGCGGGTTGACGGATGGATGCGATCAGTTTAACGGTTTAGACTACACAAAATTTGGGTATTTTTTGAATTATAATTCATTACTTTTACAATCTCCAATAACTAATAATCTAAAAAATATGTATTATTTATCTATAATATGCTATAATAGGCCATGACACCACGCAACACATGCATATTTTTAAGATGTTATTTTTCATTTTCACAAAAATATATATTTTATTATTTCTACTCTCTATTGTTACTTGTTAGCTTTCTTTTTCTTTTCTTTTTTTGAACTTTATCTATGGGCGGATTGGGTTCATGTCGGTGCAAGATATTTGATTCGTATCTACGAATTTTAAAATATTTCATCCATATCCATCCGTCACAAAACCCGCATCTGACCAAAATCAGTCGGGTTGGACGGATCCATGATTTGAAATCATCACTAGCAGAGTCGTAACTAAGCCCACAGATTGCATACCCATCTGAATAAATAGGTGTTGACAATTTTTGGTACATTCTAGTTAATGGGTTCCATAAAGAAGAAGGTTTGATCAGAAATGCCTAAGAATAACATACCATTGCATAAACCCACAAGTTCAGCACCGGACTTACAGGGCTTTTGAAGCACGGATATGGCGGAGAAAGAGATTGGCAGTCGATCCAATTGGGATTTGATGAAGGTGAGGTGATGAGAGCGAGCCATGACTTAGAGACCGACCTGAAACTATAGAGTGATGGGTTGTCCTGAAAGGATGCTGAAGGTGAATTTTTTCTGTAATTTTAAAATCGGAAATGCATGAGACCCCAGTGGGGGTGCTGGGGTCATGCCTGATTGGAATTTTTTCTTTTTTTTTTTTTTTTTTTTTTTTCATCCATTGCCAGCCCCCACGTGAAGGTGGGGTGTTGGGGATGCTTTCCTGCTTGGGATCTCCAGCAAGACTCTTTTAAAATTTATAGTATTCTGTTTTTTAAAATTTTTAATTTTAAATTAATTTTTTATTAATAATATCATAAATTTATTTTAATTAATAATTGAAATAATTTTATCATTATATAAAAAATTAATTATGAATTTTATTTTTCAGTTAATTATATTAAATAAAAAAATTATAATAATAGAATATTTGTAATTTTTTAAATTACAAATACAATTTATATTTTAAACAAATCTCAAGAGTGTATTTGTAATTTGTTCTTTTTCTTTATTGTATTTTGAAACTGTACCTTCACCTTTACCTTTACCTTTACCAACAAAATGGAAATATAGAAAAATTATAAATTCAATAAATAAATAAAACAATGTTACCCTATAAATGCCTCATGTGACCTAGTAACAATTTTTGTCAAATAATTTAATACTGGTAAAAATATAATAATACAAAGTTTAATTTACCATATAAACATTTTGAGGTAAATAAAAAAAAAATTTATGTGTTATATTTTCCCATGAGGTTTAACTTCCTTTGCTACAAGATACTACATAAGTTTCATTGACATTAGTTACAGTAGCCAACTTTTTTGTATTGGGATTTTTTTAGTCTGAATATTTTAGTCTCGTTTAGTTTTTACTTTTGAGTTTTTTTTACTTTTATAAAAGAAAAAGTGTAATGATTATAGTTTTGATGTAACATTTTGTCTTATTGATTTATATAACTTATTTTGTTTTTTTGTACTTTTTTAATCTCAAAATGTTTACCAAACAAGGACTTAGTTTTTTTAGCTTTTTTTTTTTGTTCGGTGCAAAACAGTTATATATCATATCTATACCATTATGTAAAACACAGCTTACTTTGGTGCAAACTTATGCATTTAATTACGTAAGCGCTCAAGTTCCAGATTGCAAATTTAATTTTTTTAGTAATTTTTCTTCTCCATCTACATTCATTTTCTTTTTCTTTTTTTCAGATGAGGTTACAATTGTCTTATATTTTTGCACACGTGGAACTTGTGTGCTCAACTCCTAGTTATATTAATTTGGTGTGAACACAAGATTTTTCAAAATTATCTCATAAAACAAGCTCATATTCCAAATAGTTATAACCGTATCCGGATTTAAGATTAATTCAAAGAGACCAATAAGTTAAAAACAGATTAATCACATGTTCCAAGTTTGCGTCTTCTATAGTTCTAGCCAGATTCTCCTCAAACTGCATTATGTTCCTCTCAAAACTGCTGGAAGTCTTTTGATGCAAGGAAAACATTTCCCTATCATCCAATTTGATCCGGAATTCCTTCGCGCTGTTGATTCACTCGAACTTAAGTTGCTTTCGATCTACAAGATCAAAAGAACAATGTAAGAATGAGTTCAAATTGTAATGCTTAAAACAATGAAAAAAAGTGTCTGATTCGGGGTTAAAAATAATCACTTGCCGTCGAAACCTCAAAAAACTAATTAGATTGTAGATTATCAAACAACACTAGATTTTCACCTCACAAATAGTGGTAGCTAATTTAGAATTTAAATAAAGAAAAAAAGAAAACATACTTTTTAGTCTATAGAGTACATGTTGACATACATAAAGTAATTTTCTACAGAATATGTCATTTGGATCAAAATATTGTAAATGATGTTTTAATTCTTGGGAAAATTATGCAAATAGTCCTTGTATTTTATACGATGTGTCAATTTGGTCCATGTAGTTTTAATTTGCTCGATTTTACCCCTTAATTTAACGGATTGTGTCATTTTAGTCTAATAAATAACGGTTGTGAAGTTAATTTAACGGAAAGTCAAATAATATGTCAATTTGGTCCCTGTATTTTTCACAATGTGTCAATTTAATCCCTGTCAAAATCGAGAAAATTGAAATTACAAGGACCAAATTGACACATTATGTAAAGTACAGGGACCAAATTAACATATTATTTAACCTTCCGTTAAATCACTACAACAAAAAGCAGATTTCGCGACTAAAACTGGAGTTTTCGTTGCTGAAAGTAGTAGAATTGGCAACTAAAATGGAATTAGTCGCCAAAATTGATCACTTTTGCCGATTAAAAGAGTTTAGTCGCCGAATATAAGGGTTTTAGCGACTAAAATTCAGTTTAGTCGCCGAATATAGGCATTTCAGCGACTAAAGGTTTTTTAGTAGCCAAAAGTGACAGTTTTTGGCTACTAAAATAATTTAGTAGCCAAAAGTATAGGTTTTGGCGACTAAAAAACAGTTTGGTCGCCGATTCTACGTGTTTTGGCGAAGGTTTTGGCGACTAAAAAACAGTTTGGTCGCCGATTCTACGTGTTTTGGCGACTAAAAACAGTTTGGTCGCTGAAAGTGAAGCTTTTTGACTACTAAAAAAAAATTAGTAGCTAAAAACAGTCAATTGGCCACTAAAATTCAGTTTAGTAGCCAAAAGGGGACGTTTTTGGCGACTAAAAACAGGTTTAGTCGCCAAAACTGGTTATTTTTAGGCGGGAATGAATTTTTTTAGCGACTGAAAACTAATTAGTAGCCAAAACTATACAATTGGCGACTAAATCAGTCGCCAAAAGTGATCTAATTTTTTTTTAGTAAATAATTTATTTTTTACATAAATTATATTGAATAAAAATAATTATTTTATATATATAGTTTTGTATTAATACCGGTCAAAGTAATATATAAATAATATATGTTGCATTTATATTTAAGTGATGTTGTAGTGGCATAGTGGGGAAAGTGTGATGGTAAAGGTTTGGAATGTGGGATGGGTCGGTGGTTCAAATCTTGGGAACAGCAGAGGGTAAATTTTTTTTCCTGAAATATGCTTTTGGAGACTAAAAACAGTGGTCGCCAAAAGATTGACTATTGGCGACGAAAAGCTTAGTCGGCAAATGTATAAATAAAAAAAAAATAATTCACTATTCACTATTGGCGACTAAAAGATTAGTCGCTAAATGTATAATTTTCAAAAATGCAATTGACTATTGGCGACAAAAGCTTTGGTCGCTGAAGACCTGCTTTTTGCTGACTAAAACATTTTTAGTCGCCAATACCTCCGGCAGCCATGTATTTGCGACAAAACCGGCGACTAAAATATTTAGTCGGGGAAAGTGAAAAGTCGACTTTTGGCGACTAAAAAAGGACTTTTGGCAACTAAAAATTTAGTCGCCAAAGGTGTTTTTTCTTGTAGTGAATTAACTTAACAACCGTTATTTATTAAATTAAAATGACACAATCCGTTAAATTAAAGGGCAAAATCGAGCAAATTGAAACTATAGGGACTAAATTGATACATCGTGTAAACTACAAGGACTATTTACATAATTTACCCTTAATTCTTAAATGAAAAAATGTGAGACCCCTCACCCTTAATACAACCCCTCTGAAAATCCTATCAAATATCTAATTAATCTCCATGCAACCAAACAGGAAAGAAACTATTTGTCGCATAATTTTTTTATGTAAATAAAATAGTCAACTATAAATGTTATCATACAACACGTACCGAAGTATGTCTGGATTAGGACACCAACAATACTAAGGTGAATTTAAAATTGTTATGTATAAAAAATCTTCATCTTTGTAGGGAAGACAATATTGTAAAACAAGTGTGACAGAGACTCCCTCCACCCTAAATTATTTGATCAAAACAGTAAACAAGAACTTAAAAATAATATAATCTGTGGCAAAATTTTCCAAAAAAAAAAAATTCACCAATTAAAAGATGTCATTAAGTACTTTTAATTTGCGGAAAAATATATATACAAGTGTTTGCTTATTATTTTCCTACATGAAAATAAGTATGTCAATCCATGAAATTAAAAACTAGCAAGAGACATTACTTAAGCCAAAAATAGATAGATGTGGAGGGAAGTATGTAAAAACTAAGCAGATCTCACTTAGATGTTGAGGATCTACTCATGCTTGCCTTAGATGTCGAGGATCTATTCGTGCTTAGCTTAGATGTTGAGGATCTACTCATGGTTGCCATATTCCAGCACGGTCTTTGCTTGGACTTGGAGGCACCATGGGGGGAGACTAGGCTCTCAACATACATCACGACTTTGAACCCATTGCCATTGTGAGAGAACTCAACAAATCTATATGAACTTTCTTCAAGATTATACACCACCAACCTCTTTCGATCAATCTCCATCAACACTTCGCCATTCTTCGTAAAACACAGCGGTTTCAAGGTCTTAAAACTTAGATTTCCAAAGTTATCATAACGAATGACGAACAGTTTAGTCCACGACTCAATCGCATGGTACCGTTTCAATACCAACACCTCAACATAGTGTTCCCTATGACAAACAATAGAAAGACAACCACCCAAAACCCCCAAATCAAACTTTGAAATATCTAACGATTCGTGCCCATAACTTGGTTGAGTCAATTCAACAAACACCTCAGCTACAAACTCAAAGTAAATAATCACCGGCGATTTCTCACCTCAATCATGATTCACCAACCAATGCGGAACTCCATTTACCACTGTGGCGGATGTGCCTTTCAAAATCATATACGGGAAATCCATCTTTATGCTTCTCAGCTCACCCTCACATTTCGAAGAATAGCAATAAAAATAAATGTTTTTTTCACAATCACTTTCATTATTTTCGATAACCCGAATCGCCATAACAACTTTGTACTCATCAACAAGCTTGTCATACCCAAGTCCAGAGAGAATGAAAACTGACGTGTATAAGCCCATAAAGGCCATGAATCACTATGAACAACCCAAGCCCATCACTTGGAGCCCAATACATAACCCAGCTGGTGAGGTCCAGGACAGCTGGAATCCAACATGGCATAAAGAGCCAATGACATTCAGACACATGGCAAGTGAAGGACGAGCCACATCAGCAGACAAAGATCTGCAAAGTTATTGCCACTGCACATCACCATTAATGCAGCCCATCACAGCATTTATTACGACAACACCTCTCCGTCGGAACAGGACCCCCTTACCCTGAACAAGGTAAGCTACAGCATAGACTTTCGGCGAGGAGGTCAGGTCAGAAGGGACAGCGAAATGATTACCAAAGGATATAAGCAAACGTTGAAGACAAGAAGAAGGTTAAGCTTTTCTATCTCTAATCTCTCCCTCTACACTCTACTTCTTTTCCTAACTTGCTCGTCAGAGGGTTCACTGGGGGACTACCCCGTTCCCCGTTGAACTTGTTTACAGGTTATCCGGTGGGCTTGATCATTTGGACCTGGGCTTGAGGAGCTTGGACCAGTCCGATCCATTCACTGGGACAAACTGCTCCATCAGTTGGCGCCGTCTGTGGGAAGTGGTTCTTATTCGGACGCCAGTTGTGTTCATTGTCGCCGGAGACCCTGTCCTAACAACCTTTTCCTCCTACCCATCTAAGTGTATGGTCACGACTAGATCCATGGCTTCTCACCATAATGTTGCCGACCATCAAACTGACCCTCCTAATCCAAACAACCCACCACAGTATATCATTGAGCTTACCAACAGCATTAACCGCATGGCCGAACAAAACCAGGCCCTGATAAATACTTTACTCCAAAGAAACCTTTCGATGCCTCCTCCACCACCTCCAGATATTCCACCCAACCAAGAAAGAGCCCCGAGCCATACTGTTCCGCAACCTTATCCACCCAACTTGGAAGGTTTACAACCTCCTCCCCCGTATATAAATCTACCACCTCCATCCCCACACCCTTCGGTCGTCGCACCAGCCCCTGAAGGGGGAGCCAGCAGCGTCCAGCCCCCATTGACTGACCATGGTCACCACATTCCCCTCTGGGACGCTGAACTCCGAGCAATGAAGCTCCAACTCCAAGGGGTCATGCAGAACATTCAGCATAAACCCTCTACCACGGCAAGCTCACCATTTGTTGCCTCCATCCGGGACAAACCTTTGCCCGCCAAGTTCAAGATACCCACCATTGACTCTTTTGACGGTACGACAGACCCAGTCAACCATCTGGAGACCTACCGTACCCTCATGATCCTCCATGCCTTCCCTGACGAGATCATGTGTCGGGCTTTCCCCATGACACTGAAAGGGTTAGCTCTACTGTGGTTCAGCCAGTTACCAGTAGACTCTGTCTCCACTTTCCAGCGACTCCTTCCTTAGCCATTTCATTGGAGCCCAGAGCCAACGCCGCCCTGCAACCCAACTCCTCAACATCCGTCAGACCGAGGGGGAGTCGCTGCGCAGTTTCGTTACCCGCTTCAACACCGAAGCCGTGTAAGTAGCGGAAAATGATGACAAGGTCATCCTCACGGCTTTCATGGCCGGGCTACGATCGTCCGATTTCCTCTTCTCCCTCTCCAAAAACCACCCAACCTCCATGGCAGCCCTACTCTCCAAAGCCTAAAAATATATGAATGTTGAAGATTCACTAGCCGCTCAGCAGGATCCAATACCTAAAAACCCGACCCCCAGAGAAAAGAGAAAAGACTCAGAACCCAGAAACACCCAATATAACAGCCAAACACCCCACTATACCGATTGACCTCCTCGCGCTGACCGGTCGGCACCAGCCCAACCGCCCGGTCGGTTCGAGCGGTACACGTCCCTTAATTCTCCCATAGAACAAGTCCTCCACCAAATCCAACGGGACTACCCTCTCTAATGGCCCTTACCCTCACGGACCCCTTCCAATCGGAAAGACCAGTTCAAATATTGTCGTTTCCACCAGGACCACGGCCATAACATTGATGACTGCATCATCCTCAAGGATCAGGTCGAGACCCTAATTCGTCAAGGGCGTCTCAACCGGTTCACGAACACCCGCTCACAGCAAAGGCAAAGAACCGAGCCCCTCAGAAACAACCGCCGGCGTACCCCATCCCAGTAGCCAGCCCAACCTAACCAAGGCCATGATTGCCCCCCACAATAGCCTCGGCTGCCAGGTAATCCCCCTCCGCCAGTTGGTGAAATCCGAGTCATTTCAGGTGGCCTTGCTTGTGGCGGACCATCCCGTTCCGCTCAGAGGGCAGAACTCAGAAAGATAAGGCAAGGCTCGGACAGAGCAGTTGCCACGATAAACCGACCCTCCAAACAACCCAAGCAGTGGACAGAGCCCATCACCTTCACGGACGCCGACTGTACAGGTATCCGTTATCCTCATGATGACCCTCTCGTCATTTCTGCCCTCCTCTCCAACTATAAGGTCAGACGGGTTCTCATCGACAACGGTAGTTCTTTAGACATCATATTCCTCAACTGCTTCCGCCAGCTCAAGATTGGGGAGGAAAGTCTGTCTCCCCTCCAAACCCCTTTGGTCGATTTCACAAGCGACCGGGTGACCTCCATCGGCTCCATCGATCTCCCCCTCACCATCGGTGAATACCCACGGCAGACTACCAAGTTGGTCACTTTCCTTGTGGTCGACTGTCCCTCTACCTAGAACATCATCTTTGGCCGCACCGCCCTCAACGCTTTCCAAGCTATCACTTCACCCTACCACCTCGCCATAAAGTTCCCTACCGACCTGGGCGTCGTGACAGTAAGGGGAGAGCAGACCGTAGCCAGGGAATGTTGTGTCACCTCACTCAAGGAAGTCAAGCTGAAGGAGGCCATGATCATTGAAGGACTTGATGCCCGAGATGAGGACGAGCTGGTCAGAGGCGAACCGGTGGAGGAGCTCGTTGAGATTCCCATCGATCCCACCAACCCAATGAAAACTACTAAGATCGGCAGCCAGCTATCCCCCCAAGCTAAGGCTGACCTTACTGCCCTTCTGACTGAGCACAATGATGTATTCGCCTGGACTCATTCAGATATGCCAGGCATTGACCC